ACAGGCTTTATCAGATTTTGTAAAGTTGCCAGGTGCTTGTCTACAAAGTGTAGGCATTATTTAAAATAACATTGATGCCTTTGTGGGGTTTTCGGTCTTGTCAGCCCACGAGCATGGTTGTAAAGACTAACAAAGGATATAGTTAACTTTCTGGGTTGCTATCCATAGCTTTTCCAACCAAGGCATGCCTAGTTCATGTACTGGTGAGGATGACAGACACCGAGGGAAGTTGCAGATCAAAGCTTCTGTCCAGTGTTAGGCAAATGTTGAATGGTGCTTCTGTGAATCATAACACAAAATGCACAGAAATGTGTTGTTTTAGAAACTTGTGGGTTTTGGCTTTTGATGAGTCAAGAAGGAAGATTTGTAAAATGTAGTAATTATTGAAATTTCTTTATTATTTGACTTGTGCTTTTTCATCTTCAAAATTGCTGCTGGTACAGAGTACAGTGTTCAGATCTGGTGGCTTTCACTATTCAGTGTTTGTGGCTCTGGAATAAGGTCACTTTGTAAACAAAGTTACTGTACAGAATGTCTTATTTCAGATTTTTTATTCATACTAAGTTATAATAAAGCTTTGTTAGCGACAAATTCAAAACATCATTTTCTTTGCTTTTTTTTAAATAGACTCTGAGTATCGCATCAGTAAGCTTCCTCGTGTCCCTCACCGTGAAGAAAATATAAGGGGAGGACGTAAATATATTTATCTTAAAGAGGGAGATGTGGTACAGACAGAAGGAGCCACACTCAGGTAAACACCATTTTCTGCAAGTTTGCTGGATCATGTTTTTCTTCAGAATTCTGACACATACATGTATCCTAACTTCTAATGATTGTCAAGCCATACATCTAATCTTTTCTACACTTGGGCATGTAGACTTCCTATCATGATCTAGCAGTGTATGTTTATACTAAGAAATTGTTTTTATGAATGAGGATTATCAGGCATTAGCCTCTGGTTTTTCTTTAGCGGAGAAATTAAGAACATTTCCCTTGAAACATATTTTCTCCAGGAAAATCAAATAGGATTTTACTTACTTTCTCATCACTCTTAGATGAGTAATTATTACTAAAATTGATACCTTTGGGAAGTTTATCATAGTCTGGATATATTATTTAGCATGCCTTTCTTTTAAGTTTTAAAAGATTTCCTAAGAAGATACTAAAACATACTTAAAAAGTTAAGTCTTAAACCTTTAACCTGTCAGATTCTTGTAGGGTGCCAATTCAGGAGGACTTCTTCCCATGCTCCCAGAGAGCATGTTGCCTGTCTATTTAGCTTGAATCAATGTGAAGTAGAAAGCCACTCTGCCTTGCACAGACACACACTGAAAAGGTTGGACCATTCTGTTACCACACTTCTTTCATTAACAAGGCATTACTCTTCTAAGGACAAATCTTGCTTGTTTACCTCAGTTTATATGTGAATTATATTCCACTTGTAGAATATACCAGTTGGCTGATTGGAAGAAAAAATATAAGGATGTGTTTGACCAAACGCATTTAATTTTGTTAGTGTGAAAAAGAAGCAAACAAACAAGCACCTAAACAACAACGTAGAGAGTATTATATTGAATATTGCAGACCTATCACTACCCTTAGTGGCATGTTTGGACAAAATCGATTTAGAGATGGAAAACAGCTCGTTAAATCTGAATCCAAGTAAGACAGAAGTGGCACATTTTGAAGTCTGGGGTAACGTGACCAAACTTCATGCTTGGTTAAAAGCAGGTATTCCCACCTTGTTACTTCAGTAAGCACTAAGGATACAATTAGATCCACCACTGGTTCCAAAATAACGACTGTCTGCATTGTAAACTTTGGTTAGCCACCTTCCAAGTTTTCAAGGTGTGCCAGGCAGCACTGGGTTCTTTTTCCTTTGTTTTTTTCAGTATTAGTGGTTAAGTTTCATCAGGAACTAGAGGATACCACTTCCTACCAAGGCATGTTACAGCAACCCATGAACTTGATTTTTATGTTGCCTCTGCAGGGTGTTGGTTCACAGGCTTTCTGATTAACACAGTATTCAGTAAGAGCTGGAAGTCATTGCATCAGGTGGTGCTGTGCTTCTGGCCTCCCAGCCCTCTACTAATGTGGCTGGGTGCTGTTTAGCATGTGCACTGTTGGCCCGTACACCGTGCTTGACACCAGCTCTGTCAGTTCCTGATCATTGCTTTGGTGCATCTGCCACTAACAAGAAGATTCTCATGAATTTCAGCAGCGATATGGGTCTGAGTAGTGTTACTTTCAGTTTGAATCAACTTCATCATGAGGCTGCCTGCCTTTCAAAAGTTATAGTGAAGGGACACTACAGTACAGCTCCTATCAGCTGCCCATTCACCCTTTGCTTCATTCTAATGCGGTACTTACTCAAGCTGTGAGGTCCTGAATTCTTACCATTGATGTTTAATGACCTGCACATAGAACAGCTAGAAGACCTTTCTATACATGCAGCAAAGACATTCCTTGTTGTATTTGACAGCTCCACTCTGTCACAGGGCTTTCAGGGAAACAAATTTTGGGAGACAGAACTTTATCTGGGTTGGGTCCAGCAGTTTTTAGTTAATTTCTAAAAGAATTGACAACATCATCCTTACCCTCTTTTGCTAAATGCAAGGTGTATGTCAAGAATTTCACACATTTCAATCTGGAAATGACATGTCAATTTTTCTTATTTAAAGCTTCAGAGCAAAGCCCTTTATAGCACAAATTCTACACGGCTAGCCAGCTCCCTTAATGAACTTTTGTTATGATGTGTCATGCAAGTAAAAGTAGGTTTGAGATATATTCTGCATGGTATAAGAAAATAGACTGGGGTTAGACACAGCAATACCCTGCTTGCACTGATGTTTCAGCCTTTTTTGGTCTATTTTTTTCTGTTTGTGGGCTGATGTAAGTGCATGATTTTATTATTTGTTTCTAGCTTCTGAAAATGAAGAATATATTGTGTATGAAAAGCCTATGCTTTTTGTTGTTGTTCTTTAAACAGAGTTTTATATACTCCTGGACACACTGATGATCATATGGTTTTACATCTAGAAGAAGAAAATGCTATATTTTCTGGAGACTGTATTTTAGGGGAAGGAACAACAATAATTGAAGACCTGCATGATTACATGAAAACTTTGGAAAGGTTGTTACAAATGAAACTAGATTTAATATATCCAGGTGAGTGGTTCTATTTATAACTAACTATAGCCTCTAAGAATCTGAGAACTCTTATTGTAACCAAACAACATTGCTAATGTAACTATTCAAGTTCATTACTTAATGTATGTCCAGTGCCAAGACTTTATGGCATGGTGGTTTGCAAGACTTGAGAATTTTTCAGTGATAGGTGTCTTTTCTTCCCAAAATTTCTCCATTTGCGGGTGAATCTTGTGCTTCTGTGCCCAGAGCATACAGAGGCCAGAATCACTGTTGGAGTCATACAGCAAATCTGGGTTTCTGATGTTACTCTATCCTCTACGCTTTAATGTATCCTAGCAGAAAAAATAATAGTTGTTCTTTTGGTCCTTTGCATCCCCACACACACTGCCAATATGAGTTACTTAGGAATGTTTTTGGAGAGAGATGTCTTTTGCAGCACTGATTAATTGCAAATTTATCTTGGAGAGCTGCAGAGCTGTCAAATGGTTGTCTTATTTAATGACAGCTTAAATTTGAACAAGAGCCAAGAGGCCAAACAGCATGTTCTAAAAATGTCACTGATTCATTTATTTTGTGATTTTGCTTTAATTTTTTTCCTCTATCTCCCCCAAACCTTGGGAATTCATTTACTTTTCAAATAAACCACATGTCTGTTCGGCAAGACTGGATTTTAAGAAATCATTATGTAACTGAGGTTTAAGCTCCTCATCCACTTTTTCAGAAATCTCAGGATTTCTTCTGACTTTTTCTGTTTCATCTTCTTCCACTTGTCATTCTGAGCCACTGTGTCTACATTCTTAGTTCTGTCTTCCTCCATTAACCATCTGTGTTTAGCTCTACATAACCAAATCTCTTTTGTGTTCATTCTTAAAATATGCTGCTTTGAAGTAGGAGTTCTTTTAAGTGCTTTAAGATCTAACCATAAAAATGCTATTTAAGAAAAATATCATTATAGATGTTTTGTGGATGTGGAAGCTGACATATACAGGAAGAGTGACTTGCTCACAGTAATTTACTTTACTAGTGGTAAAACTAATGATATTTTAGCCTCTAGAATTTCAATCTATTGAACAATTGAATGTTCTGCTTTCTTTCTTTAATACCTTCAAAACATAGTATGTTCCTCTAATTGAGTTTCTGCCTTCCAAAACTCCATACATGCCAAATTCAATTTTATCTGTTGTATTTCACTCTCTCCTTGATCATTATTTATCTAGATTCTGTGTTGACCAAGTTTGAATATTTGTGCCATTATTTGTAACTTTTTGCTACACTGTTGTATGTATGTTCATGCTGTACTTGCATTAAGAAAGCCAGTGGGATATTAGGCATTAGACAGTGATCAGTAGCTAAGTATTGAGATAGTTTGGAACTAACTAACTTTTATTTATCCATGCCTTACAAAATGTATGTGTGTTTGTGTAAATGATAGCTATTGGCCAATCAGAACAATTGTTTAAATTGCTGGTAGGTACTACTGTAACATGGTAACTAGAAGGTAGTTTGCTTTACCAATACATCCTGGATAAGCTCAGTACTTTGACTTTATTGCAGTTTTAGGTCTTCATAATTCTTGAACTGTTTCTCTACATCTTTAGCACTCACATTGCAGCCTCAGGAAAGCATGAATTTCTGTAACAAGCTGAGTGCTGGCTACCTGTGAGTAGCTGAATTTTGCCTTCCCCTTCCACCTTTTTTTTTTTTTTCTTTTGATTTAATGTGGAAATGAATTCAGGCATAATGCTTGTGACAGTCTACAGCTGATAGCTGAGAATCCTCTGGAGCAGAAAAGGGCTTTTTAGTCAGCAGAGGGCTCCCCATCCTGTAATAATAGATGATGTTGCTTGATAATACAGAAAAAACCATACTGGAGTTAGGAAATCTGGGTGAAATTTCATGAGCTGATTATTTTCTTCAAATTCATCCTATGTGCTTTAATTTACTGTAAAGTAAGAGAGTCTGTATTACTTCGTAGGGTGTTATGACAATAAAAACTTACTGTTGCTGATCATCTGGGCTGTACAGAAGTCTGAAATAATTAGTGACCCGATACAAAGTCTGAACTACTGGAAAGACAGTCAATTTTGATGTCTGTTTCACATGCTCAGACACATTTTATATTTTTGCACATACTTGTTTATTGGTGAAGTTAACTGTGTTGCTGTCCCTGAAAAATTATCGATGGGAATGATCCACATCTGGATTTAGTTCTAAGCTTTTTGACATCATTTTAATGTAGGTATATGCATACACATTTGCTGTAAAGGGTATGAAATACCTTTAACTTTGGAAAATGTGGGTTCCATTCCATTGGTCAATTAAATTGACATTGGTCAATTAAATCACTTAGAAGAGCAGGGACTGGTTTTAAGATTGTCTTGTGATTCCATGTTGTAATAACAATAGCTTCAAATTAAGTATCTTTGATATCATTAAATATATGTGCATATGCGATTACAGTTTTATATTCAAATGTTGCATATTTGTTATTTATAATACTAGCTTTACAGAAGGTAAGCTTCAATGTATGTTTTGTCATTTCAAAACTGCTGAAGTGAAGAGTATAAGTGAATATATGCATAAATTTTGACTTGTGAAGAAGAGATTCCTTTGACTCTTCATTTCATGGATATTCAAACCATGAAAAATTAGTTGTTCTTTTTCTATACACTGCTTATCCTCAGCCAAAATAAGCTCTAAAACCTTAAAACTAAAGCTCCATGTAGTCAGTTAATCCAAAAGCACAAGTAAATATGTTTTTTTGAAAATAGTCAGCCTCAGAAGAAACTGATTTGGATGATAGCAGAAAACTTCTACAAGAAAGCTGTGGTTTTTTACAGTAGTTTCTGGTCTATCCATTTTATAAATTACTTGGAGTTTATACTGGCAAAGCTGGAATTTACTGCTGCTACTTCAGGTGAGGTACACAGGCAAAGAAATAGAAAACCTTGATATAAAAAGCATATGACAAATATTCATGCAAGTAAATTTCTCCATAGGTAAAACATTAATTTAATTTCTGTGCATGTAACTCTAAATATCTGAAAAATATTTAATCTGTCATTTTAGTGTATCATGAGGCAGTATTTGATTTTTCCACAAAGATTAGTTCTTTACCAATTAAGCCTTTTTCTAGTTTCAGTCAAAGACATTTCAGAAAGTTGAACATTTCTGATCTGCTACAGTAAAAACATGTATTTTGTTTATTAACCAGCCATACATAAAATGATCCATATATAACCTTCCTTGTGCATTGCTTATGCCTTGACACATTCCAGCTGGCTCACTGATTTGTCTTCTACTAATTTTTTTGATCAGACTTACAAAAGTATGTTTTTAAGGGAATAAAGTATAGTGTGTGTCAGTTTTGAAGACCTGTTGTGGAAAATTTATCTGTTGCAATTAAAATTTACTTCTCTCACCTTTGTGTTCGCTAGATAGCCCCAACAGCACAGTAGTAGATGAGTCTTTTGCCTCACCACTACTGCTGAAAGACCAGGATTAGTTAAAATCATCTGTATCAGTATCCTTTGGGGAGAGTGGTACAGGCAGAGGTAATACAAAATCTCTTCAGCAGTGAACTCCTTTCGTGAACTCCTTTCCTTTTTTTCTTTTTTTTTTTAATAGCTTAATGTTCCCCCGCTTTCCTTATACCATCTGAACTATTCCATTTCCACATTCACATTTTTCAGATCCTAATTTTCACTTTCCATCTTAATAGATTTCAACTGAGGACTGTGATGCAGACATCCAAACTTAATTTTCGCCTATTTATATGCCAAAAAAAAAAAAGGGTATTCTGACAGGGTGGTACATGCAAGTGCTGCTCCCTTCTTATGAGTTGTAAGTCTACCAGAGTTCACATACAAATGATTCAGTTATTCAATGACATACTTAATTCCAAATGTAAGTAAGAGTGCTCTGTTACGTGTCTTTTGATTTAGGTCACGGCCCAGTAGTACGTGATGCAAACACTAGAATCCAAGGCTACATTTCTCACCGAACTGCACGTGAACAGCAAATTCTGAATGTTTTCCAGAAGAATGTTGGAAAATCATATACATCCTCGGAGCTTGTAAAGCTAGTATACAAGGTAATTGTAGATTAGAAGTTTTTAGATCAAACTAAAGAAAATTGAAGTTATGTCCATAAAATGGTATATAACAGTATAAGTATTTGAGTGAAGACCTGCTGAACCCAGGACAATGGTCCTAAGCATAGTTTCATAGGACCAAGCAAAAATAAAGTTGTAGTGCTCAGTTCTAAGTGAAAAGTAAGAGATGACTGTTAATTGTTATCTGTGAAGGTGGTTTTAGTTTCCTGAAAAATTGGTTAAAACTTCTAGTTTCTGATTTTTGCAGGAGGGTGCATATGCACTGCAGTTGCACAGAGATGGATATTGCACTCAGAAGTTGGGTAGCCTGCGTGTGTCATTAGACATACCTAAGAGGAATTTTTTCAGTGCTTCATTATTCTTCATGTAACTTCAGTAATTTGTACCTGTGGTACGGGGGTTACTCCTCCTAGCAAGTAGTGGTAGAAGAGATAAAGCATTTGCTTTGAAGGAAGATGTCAAAGTTGTCAGTGGCCGTGGTTTGTGAACAGGTCTGAAACAGTTTCACAGCTCATTTTTCATGGTTATCCTGATGCCCAGTTTCCAAAAGAATGACTACATCACCTTGGAACGTTTTGTGATGCTGACGTACTGTGGCTGTTTAACTCCTGCAGTTTCTCTGCCTGAAAAACTACAGTTTTTGAGTATACAGCTGTTCACATTTCTGTAAATCACAAACCATTTGTCCTGTCACTACATGATAGAATTCTGTCAGTACTACTAAAGCATTCATATTTTTTAAAAAAGTTTAATCTTTCAAAGTTTTTTTAAGATTCACAATTTATTGAGCTAGTTTTCTAATGAATTTTTCTGCCAGACTCATTATTTGGAGAAGAACTTTTTAATTTTCAAAAAGCAGGCTTTACTTTTAAGATGATAGAGCTGAAGAGGAGGATGTTGAGAAATGTTTTGGGGTTTTACCTAATGAGCATTGGAAAACGTTAAAAGACGTTTTGTCCTTCTGAAGTTGTATTTTTAAATTGTTTACTCATTTACAGATACTAATTACTAAAGGAGATTTAAACCCATGCAAATATTGTCATGGAATAGAAGTGATAACTATCAGTGGACAAATGCATCTTTAAAGTTGTCTTTAAAAATGCTCAGCTACACTGACAACCTGGTGCAAACCAAGCTTACAAAAGCACAGTTTTCTCAGCATTGGCCAACCTTTGCATAATACAGGTGGATAATGCAAAACATGAGCAAAGCAAACAGAAGTGTGTTATCAGGCTACTAGTTTAGCTGCTGTAAAATTGATTTCCTCATTTCAGTTTGTTGTCATTATGTAACTGAGTACTCAACAAAGCAATTCAGAACAGGAAAATCTATATTAATAAACTGCAAGTTCCCTATATTGAAAAAATAATTGGGAGATATTTAAACAAATAGAGAATGCCTATTTGTGTTGTCCTTAGGAAATCCCTGAAAATGTACTTCGAGCAGCAGAATGTAACCTCCTTGTGCACTTGAAGAAGTTGGAGAAAGAAGGAAAAGTGTGTAAGTTGTGGATGGAGGGTGGAAGGAGCATCATTTTGATTTTGATTTTCTGTATGCTGTTCCTCATCATATTTTAGTGCATTATTTCAACCTGCAATTAGTTGCAGTAGCTGTCCTTTAGACACTTTGAAGTAGAATTATATACAAAATACATATACAATTATATACTGCAATGCATATACCTCTAATTTTTACGTAAGTCATATGATAGAATACATTCTTCTAATGCTGGTGTTTGTATCTTTGTGTATTTGCTGAAATTCCTGCCTAAATGTGCATGCATATAGCATTTGATGGGATTGCATTTTACATTTCTGCCTTACCTAAACGTGTATTGTTATACATTTGTGTTCTAGAGACAGTTCAAATCACATAGGGTAATTTTTTTACAATTTCTGGTTAGTACAGTACTGAAGTAGAGCAACTATATTTAGTTTGCTGTTTCTACATTGTGCTTTTACAAGGTGAAGTATTCTGTTTCTGTAATGGCTTATACCTGTGGAAACATTATTCAGCCAGAAACTAAAGAAGATATTTCTTTCTGTACATTTCTGCACCCAGGACTGTCTACATATAAGTAAAGAATTACACAAATATTTACAAGTGTTTCACATACTCAGCATTTACCAACCTGAATAACATGAAACTAGTATATTTCTTACAGCTTAGACCTTCTGTTTATTTTAATAATAAATCGGCTACTAGGTGCTACTTGTTTGAACAATTGAGACTTAATATTAGTAATAATTACCTTGTTATTCAAAGAAAATAGACTAGAGTCACACAAAGTCACTACTGAAGTTCAAAAAATTACATCCTTATGCCATGAAAGCTTACCAGCATGATACTTATGGCACCAGCTCTTGAGTGTGATCTCAATTCTTGGATATTAACATACATTATTGACCTATTCTCCAGTTTAGTTCCACAAGATTCCTCTGGGCGATCAGAGGCCGTTGACTATTTATCCTTTCCTTTCTCTGCCAAAGTAGATAAAGCAACAGCATTTTCTGTTTAGATTAAGTAGTGGGTAAATTAACCTCCTGTTCAAGGCAGACTTGCAGTCCTCCCTACAAAAGACTGTGTGTATGTATCTTAAAAGTCCAAGAATTAATTTGCTTGAGGGAGATAGTGACTTTCATCTCTTAAACCAGAGTGGGTTTTTTGGTTGGGTTTGCGTTTGGGTTTTTTTATTGTTTGTTTTCAAAAAAAGCACCCTTTTCATGCTTACCAGGCGCAAAAAAAACCCAAACTGTTTTCCCCAGAAATCACCTTAGAATTTTAAAGAGTCAGCAGATGCGGAGCTTCAGTTAGATATCTGTTCCTCAAGCTGCAACTGTTTGCAGTCACTAGAAAGCTTAAGTAACTAGAAGAAGAGCAGTTGTGACTCTTGTACTCCAGTTGGAGGTCCTTGATTCAGCTGCATGCTCCTGCTTTCCACAAAGCGTAGGTGCCCTTTAGCGTTTTTTGGTTTGGTTTGTTTTTTAATCTTCAATTTGTGCTCACAGAGAAGGTGGAAAGCAGTCTTATCAGAACACTTGGGGTTTTTCTGTGCTGATCTCTGCAGTGTGGAAACAGTTGCTAAATTTTTAAATACAAAAAATATCCTAGACCCAGATCTGTGATAAGCACATAACATTATGTGACCTTTGGCATTTTTTCAGTTCGAATTAAGGACATCTGTTAAGGGAGATTGATTCTGTTGGTTCTGAGCATGTAGCATACAAATGCTTGTGTACTCACGGTACTTATTAATTTGGCTTTGATATGATGTCCTTTCCACATAGTCTGAGATGCAGTATTTCAGGTTTTGTTCTCACTGTGGAAGAGTTGAGTTGCAGTCATAACACTATCTGCTTAATTTTCACAAAGCATTTTTCCAAAGCCGTATGTTGTCACTATTGATAATGAATATGACAGGCATATTACAACATTACGAGAGAGTTACTCAATGCAAATTATGGCCATATGCTGTCTGCTGCAGTCATTAATTCACCACTTCATTGCAGGGATTGCAGTTTATGTTGGTACATAACTTCTATACTTCCACTTAGGAGTGATACTGCCTTTACAGATTTGCTTTTCCCACTTAAAACAGAAAAATAATGCCTCATGTAGAGGAGCATGGTACAGTAGATGCATGTAAGCTTTCTTCTATGTTTTGATACAATTATCTTGGTCATTGTTACACATTTTTAGAACACAGCTGGTAGATAAAAATAATTTGACTGTTCTTAATTTAGCAGCACAAGGTTTTTTTCTCTTAAGCTCATAAACTTCAGAAAAGGCACGAAGTGCTCTGCTACCTCAAATTTCTTAATATCTAGAAATATTAATGTTCTGAACTTTAAATAACTGTAGGCTTATTAAACCCTTTTTTATTATTTTTTTATATTGTTAGGTTACATTGTGGAACAGTGAATGTTTATCACCTTCCATTAAAACTCAGTACTGGCTTGGGGGAAAGTATTCCAATAGTTTTTAATGAAAATTACATGTATAGACATATATATGCATGTACAGGTAAAGTCTGATGTAGTCTAATGTTTATATATAGTGTCTAAATGTTAGTTTGCAACTAATTTGTCCTTTTTTTCGTAACAGTACGTGAGGACTCTCCCAACGTCAGATGGAAAAACAATTTATAAGTTACACAAGATTGCCCAAGGGTATTTTAAATCTGCACAGTTGCTGCATGAAAAAATAAAATTATGAGCTCGGACAACACTCAAAATCACAACATAATTCTTTTTTTTTTTTTTTTAAGTGCTAACAAATTTAAAGCATCTAACAGTCAGTTAATGTTTTGCATATTATTATTTTTGGAATTTTAAAATTAACCTCATAGATACTGAGTTAATAAAACAGAATGAGAGCAAAGAGCTGAATGTTACCACTGTTATAAAATAAGTAGCATTATCATCAGTGGTGGAAGACAAATAGCAAGGTCTTAAAAACTGATTATTACAGTATTATAAATGTAATAAATCAGATATATTAAAAATCTCTAGTAAAAAGAATAGAAAAGATGTTATTCTGAATCTGTTTTCATTTGCTTGTGCTTTTCAAAAACTGATTTTCTAATCAGCTATCTGTACATTCTAAAAAACAAGTTATTTTTGTTAATAGATGTAAATACTGGGGTTTGTATTCCTTTTCTGATTTAGCTATCTGCACGTATTTGCTGGTTGCTCACTGCAGTAGGTTGGAAAAAAACACTGAAAGTAATTTCAGACTTCTCAGTTTTCTGGTGGAAACACCACTTCTATGGAATTCATTCAAGGATTCATTAATTTTAACTGATGAACATCAAAAAACACAAGAGTTGGAGCAGACTTTTAAATTATTTATAAGATTCTGCAAGAATGTAATTGAAAACCTGTATAAATTGACATGTATAAGCATCATATAAAGTTAAGTTTGTCTATTGCTCTCTAACTAGCAGCTTCAAGTTTTGCTGTTAAATCCATTTAAACTACAAGTATTTTAACAAAAGGTTGTATTTGATTGTAAGATACTGTATAATGTATTAAAATACAATGAAGATTAATTTGAACTGCAAGTTCAGTTCTCTGTGTAGCTTAAACTTTCAGAGGTGTATAAATATTTGCATTACTTTGTATTCAAAAGTGTGTGATGTTTTTATGATACATACACATCTTTTAATGCTAGATCAAACTTAGGAAAAGCAAAACCAAAAACTACTCAAGCAAAAAAACACTAGCAAAAAATACAGATATGGTGCGTTTGAAAGCACCAGTGACAATTATACATCCTTGAAAATCCTTGAAAATCTTTCACCATCCAGTCCTGTACCCTCATCTGTCAAACATGCATATGTTTGGGTATTTAAGGCATGTCTTAATAATTATCGTTATTTTATGAATTTGATGGCATTTGTGCTGATCAGCTGAGCCAAATCCAAAACACAGATATTCCCAGGAACAGCAATCTATAACTGAAATCATAATCTGAAGTAGTAACCAGACTGAGGCTACTCAGTCCTCCCCTGAGGAGGGGAAATAATAACTTTCTGCTCAATCAAATTATGCTTTTTGCAAAGTTAATTGATAGGATTTGTGGCCACATCATGACTTGCTCCCTTTGAACTTCCTGGTGCAGTGCCATTTTGGGGTCTTTTTCGGGTCTCCTGGTTTTTCCTCCTCTTGTGTTTTCTCTTTACCTGCATTTCCCATCTCAGCCACTTTTTTGCCCCCGCTCCCACAAACCTTACATTTTTTCAATTCCTTTTGGATTATTTCTGTCTTTAGAATTACTCAGAAACTTTCACATGGACTTCTTGCCATTACTAATTGCTGTTTTCCTGTAGCCATTTCATGAATTTATAGTTACCTCTCTGATTATTAGAAATAAACATGGAATTATCACTGTGGGTTTGTTTTTTTTTTTTTTAAACTGAAATAATATGCTCTGAATGATGTCGTTTTGCTTCAGGAAAACAGAAAGATGAAATGGCAGTTTGCTGTCATGAGATCTAAAAACCCAAGTCAGCAGG